AGATTTTCAAGTTAGAGAAAATAATAAGCAAGATTTCAAAATCTTCTGAAAATCTTGATTCTATATTAGCTTATCAAAGAGGGAATTCTAGCAAAGCTGAACTTGGTTACAAACCCAAAGAAAGTCTAGAACCTCATAAAACTATTTTTGTGAAAGAGTTAAGGAAAACAGATGTGAAACCAGTTTCAAAAACTTTAAGAAACTCATTTAGACCTTTTCAAAGAAAACTAACATGTTTTTATTGCATGAAAATAGGCCATACATCAAATAGATGTTACATAAAATATTTTGGCATATCTAATGACAAATATGAATGGGTTCCTAAAGGAACAAAACATTTATACATGTCTAGATGATAGTTGAGCATCTAATTGATTACCAGAATCAGAAATTTTTTTCTTGTTGTCATAATCAATTATATTGATTCTGAAGGTGCTGTGATAATCGATTATTATATCATAGTTATATTCTTTTAATCCTTAGTCTTTTGGCAGAGACTTGTGATTCTACTAACCTTTTTAAGGACCCAAAAATAATTAAAGGGTACCTAGATTTGTATGTTGATGTTGCAGGTAATTATCAAGGATAAGAAATTAATGCAGGTTATTGAAGCTAAATGGGTGTACATGAACAAGCTAGATGAACAGGGAAATATTACAAAGATAAGTTTATGATTGTCTCTCAAACCTCTATATTGAATATCTGCACTTATCTGTCACATAAATTTGATTGTTGACCAACTTTGAAATTTGAAAGTTTGAATTTTGAAAATTTGAATTTATGAAAATTTGAATTTATTAAAGTTTGAAATTTTGCAGTTTGAGATTTTTTTAAAATTTGCAGTATGAGATCTTTGAAATTTGAAATTTTGCAATTTGAGATTTTTGAAATTTGAAATTTTTGCAGTTTGAGATTTTTGAATATGAAATTGAATTGGAATTTGAAATTTGAATTTCAAATTTGGGATTAGAAATTTGAATTTGAAATTTGGAATTTGTTTGAATTTGAATTTGAAATTTGAATTTTTTTGCAATTTGAATTTGAAATTTGAAATTTGAAATCTGGAATATGAGTGAATTTGAATTTGAAAGTTGCCTAAATAATAAGACTGCAATTGGGGGAAACTACTGCATTTTATTCCATTATCTCTACAATCATTCTATTCCCCTATCTTTCTCACTCTTTATTTGTCTTGGGTATCTTAGATATTGCCTCCTTAGTATGATGTTCTTCTCTATGACACTTTGTAATACATTATCTTCTCTACCTTGATTTATGTACTAATATGTGCAAATTTGTTCTCAATTTCGATTACAATATTTTTCATAATTATCAATGAAATAGGGAGATATTTTGGTGATATTAATCTGTGTGAAACAGGGGGAGATTTTTTGATGAGTTAAAATCTGTGTGAAATTCATTCCTATCTCTAAATTAAACAAGGGGAGTTAAGAGAAGTTTTTGCTCATATGAGTTAGGGGAGTCTTGTTATTAATATATCCAGGGGGAGGTTAAGAGACTCTGACACTTGATACAAATCTGTGCTAATCTGTGTTATACTATATTGTGCTAATCTTGAACTGGCTATATAGAGTCAAACATTTTAATTCATTTCAGTTGTTTCCTTGATCATCATAAAAAAGGGGGAGATTGAAAGTAATGAGGGGGAGATTGATGGAAATGTCCCTACATTCCCAAGAGATAATTTTGATGATGATTCAAGTCAACACCATTCAAGTCAACACCATTCAAGATGAATTAAGGACAAGTTGAATTTAAGACGTTGGTGATAATGTGAAACATTTCTCTATATGCCCAAGATATGTTTTTGATAAAGATGATGATTCAAGCAAGTCCAAGATGATTCTTGAAGACTAGATAGAACCTTAGAATACTGGATATGGAGGTACAAGTTGATGAAGTAATATTATGCATAAGCCTCCAAAGCACAAGTGTGATAAAATTCATAACATGATATTTTTCACTGTCATAATCAATTATGATGCATCAGAAATGGAAAAATGATTTTCTCTGTCATAATTGATTATACTGGTAACATAATCAATTATGACAATTCAAATTTGAAAAATATATCTGTTTTGAAGAATAAATATTTTTGAATATATCCAGATTTTTATTCACGAAAATATTAATGTCCAACGACTATTTTTTGATGCTATTTTTCTATTTAATTAAGTTTTGATGAAAAATCAAATACACACAATTACAAAATTCGAAAATACAATTTACATTCAATCAGTTTTGAGAAAAGAATTCTGAGCAATGCAACAGAGATATTTTACACCTTCTGAGAAAACCCTCTTCTTTACTGCCTTCTGTGCTTTCATTGTTAATCACACTTGTTCTTGGAGATTAACATTCTACAGGCTTCTACAATTTGTTGTCTCCATTACCCAGATGTGACTGTTCTTATTTTTATTACCTTCATCCTTTGTGTATTGGTGGCAAAGGAGGTGCTTTTCATCCCTAGTGTGATTCTAGGGAGGTGTTCATCCTTAGTGAGATTCTAAGGAGGTGTTTTCATCCTTTGATTTGTTCAAAGGAAGTTTTCATCCCTAGTGTGATTCTAGGGAGGTGTTCATCCTTAGTGTGATTCTAGGGAGGTGTTCATCCTTAGTATGATTCTAGGGAGGTGTTCATCCTTAGTGGGATTTTAAGGAGGTGTTTTTTTATCCTTTGATTTGTTCAGAGGAAGTGTTCATCCTTAGTGAGATTCTAGGGAGGTGTTCATCCTTAGTAGGTTTCTAAGGAGGTGATTGTCTTTTTAATTAGTTTACTTTTTACTGATTTTTCTGCTGAGTTGATTGTAATTTGTAAACTGAATTTGAAAGATAGTGAATTGGGAGTCACTCTTGTGTTAAAAGTTGACTGGGAACTGGATGTAGGGTTGGCTATACCCGAACCAATATAAATCTTTGTATGCTCTTCTCTTTCTCTTATCTCATTCTCTTTTTCTTTATATTATCGCTTTCGCTTTATCTGTGTTCAAACAAATTATTGACTGACAAATAAAGTTTTAATTTGACATCTATTTTAATTTGTGCATTTATTCACTCATCTAAATACCATTTGTCTAATAAATAAATCTAAAGATATATTCTAAATTAAATGTTTTAGAATATATTTTCAAATTGGTGGTTACAAAAATACATAAATGTTCCAAGATATATTTGTAAATTAACTCTTTTGAAGATACATTCTACAAATATCTAATCTGAAATATATTTTTAAATTAATTTTTTTAAAAATATATTCTAAAGCAGAACATATAATAACCAATTCATAAATAAGTTTAAGTATTTTGATGAAGAATAAAATAAAATTTATTTGAATTATGGGATGCAGAATAGGCGGAGGAAGAATCAGTCAATTTGCTACAGTGTAGTGAAAGCAGCGTCTTCCAGAAACTTGAGAGACGCTTGTATGTGACTCCAATAATAAAAATATCTCAAAATATATATAATTAGCGGCGAGAATCAATCTCAGAAATAATACAGTTAAAAAATATATTTAAATAGAATACCTCTAAGTTTATTTATTAATTTAGACTTATTTATTGTTTATATATAAAATTCACTAAATGAAAATAAATTTGTTTTATATAATATAATTATTTTTTTATCATTTTTATTTATTTATTTATTTTTATCTCTTTTTATTTATTTATTTATTATTTTTTTCTCTATCTCTATTTAGTATTTATTTTCTTTTAAAATATTATAAGACAAAATTAAGATGTTATAAATATTATTATTATATTATAATTATATTTTTTAACAAATAAATTTTTTATATGAGCTAATTTAACTAATTATTCTAACTCAATTTAATTATAAATATATTAAATTATTGAGTAAAAAATCTGTTTAACTCATAAATATTTAATATTTTTTAATTAGATGAGTAGTTATTATTATGATAAAATAATTTTAAATTAATTATTTGTTATAGTAAATAAATTTATGTATTATTAAAATAAATAAAATTATTTGTTATAATCATAATTTTAAATAATTGGTTAATATTTTTTAGTTTTAATATTGATTTTAAAGTATTTGTTTTAATATATTTTTATTGAATTTTAATATAATGATTTAATTAAGAGAATAAGCGGGAGAAAAAAGAGAGAAATAAGAGACCTACAATAATAATAAAAAAAGAATAAATGAGAAAAAAATTATGAAAAGAAAGAGAAAAATTGTATATAATTAGAAACAAATTTAAATAAGTAAATAAATTAATAAAGATTTTATAAAAATAATTTTTCTTTTAAAATATATTATTTGTTGTGTGATTTACATTTTCTTTTATCGAAAAAAATATAAAATATAATTTGATTTTAATTTTAATTTTTTGTATAAAATTTAAACTAAATCATGATTGAAGTTATTTTTTTATTATAAAAACATTCAATATATTATAATAAAATAATTATTCAATAAAAATATAAATATAAAAGAAATTATAATATTAATATTTTTAATTTATTTTCATATTTAATTTAAAAGATAGTACATCTTAAATTATTAAAAATTAATTAAATATTTTTAATATTAGTAATATATATTATAATTTTAATTTAATTTGATTTGAATGGATTATCATTATCAAATCGAAAACCTAATCAAATTTTAAAAAGTTTTATGTAACAAAATGATTTCAAAATATTTATAGTTTTATTTTTGGATCAATTTTAAATTATATTTATGATTTTCCTTATATTATTTGTACTCTTTTCATCAATTACGTAATAACAATAATTATATTTTATTTAATAAAAAGATAATATTAACTTGTAAAATTAAAAGCGGTTGCAACTGTAATGACATAGAAATAAACCATAATATTAAAAGCGCTACGCTACGAATTTCTATATAATGGTACTGATAAATAAGAAAATTAAAAAACGTCAAATTCAAAATCTGAAAAGGAAACAAGGAAGACGTCTAGGGTTTCAAATTCACCTCTCTCAACCAAACATGAGGTACCGTAAGATTCTTGTTTCTTCCTCATATTTTATTCTTTTATAATCTTTTTTTGGTCAATCAGGTGCTACTGCTCATTATTTTTATCCACTCCACTCTTCCGATTTTGTCTTTTAATCGGCACATTGTCTGTTCTGAGTTGAAAATTCATTTTTTTGGGATGACCGTATTTGGATGCTTAATTGTGTTATGTTATGTTATGTAATGTATGCATTTTTTTTATCGTGATGTATTATTAATTTTTATTGTTTTCACTGTGACGCAGTCGTCATCCTGAGGTAAAGTGGGCTCAGAGGTTAGACAAGGCCTATGTCACGATTCAGTTGCCAGATGCAAAAAACGCAAAAGTTGACCTAACCCCTGATGGTGTTTTCACTTTTTCTGCTAGTGCTGGGGCTCAAGAAAACCTCTACGAGCTCAAGTTGGAACTCTTTGACAGGGTTAATGTAAAGGTGAGAAGACACTCCCGAGTTATTTTATGTTTCTTGTTACCATTTTAATATGAGTGTTATCTGTTGTGCTTTATTTGCACTGCAATGTTTTTTGTAATGTTCTTTTGTTGTTCAGGAGAGCAAGATTAATGTAGGTGTGAGAGGCATATTCTGTGTAGTGCAGAAGTTAGAGCAAGGATGGTGGAAAAGGTTGTTGACCGCAGAAGGCAGACCTCCACATTATGTGAAAGTGGATTGGGATAAATGGGTAGATGAAATTGAAGACGAGGGTATGCACATGTTTAAACCATACTATGCTATTCTACTGAATTTTTGTAATGTAAATTATGAAAGACATTATATTTTTATGTATGAACAGATTGTCCCTTGTTTATCATTAGGTTTTGGAGGTGACCTGGAGTTTGGAGGGATGGATTTTTCGGTATGCAATGTGTTCATCTGATTCTAAGCTTGAACCCTCCTCTCTTTTAGGTGCTATTTGGTCTGATTGTTTTTATGGTGCAGAAATTTGACGGGATGGATAATGGTGCAATGGATGATGATTTTGAGGACAGCGACGGTGAAGGTAAGTTTGTGGTTGACAGCTGCATTTGAGATTTATGAATATGGTGTCTTAATCACTTCATTAGTAAAAAAGCATGTTTGATTTTAGAAGATATTGATGGCAATCAAACAAATTGTTGCATGCGCTTCGCACGTGTATAAATTATATAAATATGCCGGTATGTGCATTAAGATGGCTTTTTGTTTTAGGAGTACACTTGGAAAACTTTTATCGGTTTCGTCTGACATGTATGGTAGAGTTATATACAACGCCCTCCAATTAAAAGGGTGTATATAATTAAAAGAGGAAGAAACATAGGGCAGTGTTAGCCCCTCACTTAGTTTTAACTGTTTGTTGCAGAGTTTTAACTAACTGATTGTTGTTAGTGATTTCAGTAGTTGGGTTGGGAATTAAATAATTACATGTATAGTAAAAAAGATATCTCATTTTGTAATCTTAGAGATTGGAAGAGAGCCTTGAACTTGAAAAATATACAGCGATACGGCGTTGTTCTGGCCTAGCCCAATCTGTCACCACATTGGTACAAAAATGGGGACTAGTTTTTCTTTAGTAATAGAGCTATAAAACTAGGCCACAGTCTGTGGGTCAGTCTGGCTAATCATGTTTTCAGGCCGGGCCGGGCCCAAAAATTGTTAAATTTTATAATCCAGTCTATGTGAGCTGAACCTGTGGTAAGTCACACTCTTCGCGACATTCTCCTCTATAACACCACCCCTTTTGCGACACCCTCATATTTTCCTTTGAAGGAATTTCTATGCTGTGATCTCTTGGTCCCCGTACTCATAAGGTGCGCGTTGGATGTTGGTTTTTCCCCTCTATATAGTCTTGGAACCTATTATTTTGTCAACTCATCGTGTAGAAATGGTGTTTATGTGTGATGTTGCTAGCAAATTACATTTTTGCATCCTAAACTAATTGTAAGCGCTTTGGACTCTACTTAATTTATAAAGATACAACCAAAAAGGAAAAACAGAAAACATACTAGAAGCTCCATTAGTTCAGGAATTTTTTTTCTAATATTGATGATAATTATTTATCAAAGTATATATTTTGGTGATAAGATGATTGATTTGATTTTTTGTTATCATTTTTTTTTTTAATTTAGGGGGTTAGTTTGTTTAACCCACCAACTCGCGTGGGCTAGGTTGGATCAGTTTTGTTTTTGTTGAATTTTCTGTGAGCTGTCTCGCTTTGACCCATTGATAAGGTGGGCTAGGTTCAATGGACCTTACTGGTTCGTTTTCACAACTTTAACTAGTAATGCTTGAGTCTTCCACTTCTGTGATTTAGTTCTTATTAAAGACATTATAATCTACTTCTTGTTGGGGTGGCAACATGGTATTTTAATACACCTAATAATGTGTTTAAATGACAAAGTGTGATAAGGAAAACCAAACTGCAACCTATCTAATTTACAACTACTATAACAAAACTCACTATTTTAATGACGCAACAATGCGTCCATTAAATTGCCTCAATTTATAAAATTGGTATGTATTTGTTTGCCAATTGTACAGGGAAAGAACTGTCAGAGCCTGGAAAACAAGATATTAACAATGAAGCTTCTACTATTGAAGAACAAGATAGGGAGAAAGTTGCAGCTAGCACATAATAGCTTACTAATGTGCAGTGGTATTTTCGGTCTGATCTGAAAGTTGTTAAATGGAGGCATTGTTACTTATATTGCTCTTTTTTGTGTCTCCAAACATTAGTTCAATGCTCCTATGAATTGCTCTTTTTAGTAATTTAAATTCAGTGTTTATTTATGGACTAAAATCCTATTTTATTATTTGAGGGAAAAAATATTTTAAATTTTAGAGACTAAAACATAATTAATATTAATTTTATGATATAATTTTTATTTGAATTATATTTTAAGATAAAGTTTATATCAGGGTTTATATTTTAAAAGTAATCTTATTTTAATATATTGTGTTGATAAATAATATTTTATGAACTTATGCTATGCGTGGTAGATACCGGAAACGTAGTTTTCTTTGTTTGGTTAAAAGAATATAAAGGAATAATTTTAAAAATAGTGAATTTTAACTATATTATATCTCATTTATTTCTTCTATTTGTTTTTATCATTTTTTTCTCTTATTTTATTCTATATAAAATATTAAATGTTTAATTTTACTTCTTATTAATTTTTTAGAACTTATTTCTTTTCTTATTTTTTATTTCTTACCTCAAATTCAAAAAACTCTTACGATATATCTTGGTGTTTGGACTACCATTTTAACAATTTGCCTTACAATAAATAATAAATAAAACAATATTTTGTTTATTTCATGTGGGGGCATAAGTCATGTTAGATTATTTTTTTAAACAGAGTAACATTGTTAGTAGGCTGATTCTTACATGATCGAAAGACCTAAAACATTTCTCATGATTGTGGACCAAAATATTATTAGTAAATTTATTAAAACACGTGTTAAATTTTTGATAAAATAAATTTATCAGTGTTTCAAAACTTAATTTCAAAATAATTTAACTCAATCAAATAATAAATAAAATATAATCAAAGATTATTTTCTAGAAAAATAGAATTCACACATGCGATGAATTGTATAATTAAAAACATGTGTTTGTGTTTATATGTTAAAGACCTTTTTTTTTATAAAATTTTATTTTGCACTTTTCACGCTGTTTATTTATATACTTCCATAATTATTAAATTGCCACTCCTATACATTGACTTTTTAAATTTTAGCGCGTTTGTTTTAATGTATAATATTACACTCTCAAAAAATGACATTCTCAAATTTATTATATAAAAAATATAGTTCTGATGAACATATTTAGTTAACATTTTTTAATTTTACGATGAAAATTAAAACTTATTTACTTAAAAAAATACATATAGAACTATTGAAAAATAAAGTGGAGTTAAGTAATTATGGTAGAAAGTAACTTTCATTCTCATAAGAAAATCTCCTTTAACATTAAAAATATAAAATTGAATATTTTATATATCAAGAAATCAATACTATATTAACTTTTTTTTTATAATATATATATATATATATATATATATATAAATAAGTGTTTTCTATTTTTAATTTTTTATTAGATTCAATAAACAAGAAAAATTAGTTGAACAATGAGATATTGAATCATTAAAGAAGTAATGGTAGTGTGTTAAATTTAAAAGTTATAATAGATTGAAAGAATGAATCTAGAGGAAAAATATCAATAATTGTAAAGAATTAGTGTGATAATTAATAAAAAGGTATATTATGAAGATATAAAAGTCATCAGTAGGTAATATTGAAAGAAGAAGATTTGGTAGAGATGACAAAATGGGTTAATCCGTCCCATTTTGGCCCGGCCCATAAAAAATGGAACGGGGTGAACTGACTCGCTATAGTTATGACAGGTGTAGACCTTGGTCCGCTTCGTCAAAGGGCGGGTTGACAACTTGACCCATCATAATAAAAAAAATATTTTTTTTAAATTGAAATTTTCAATAACTTTGATAATAAGATTATCATATGTTTGTCAATAATTTAACATATATATTTCAAGTTAATAATATAAATCAATACATTATTTTAAGAAATTATAATTTAGAACAATAATCAAATTAATATAATAATAAATATTAAAAAATGTATATAAATAAAGTCAAAACTTGTAAAATTTATAATTTTTATATTGAAAAGTTCAAGTACCTATATGTTTTTTATTTGATAAAACTTCACACTCGTTCTCATCTTGAGTAATTCTTACACCTTTAATTCAAGTCATAAGAATAAGAATAATCATTACTTGGAATAAACAAGGAAGAGATGATGGACAATAAGGAGAATATGAGAGAACAACTTGTGTTAGAGTAAGGAAAATGTTTCCTATAATGAGTGAGAGTAAAACTTTTTAAATTCTCTTTTTACCATTTTTAACTTTAAATATTATTTTATAATTAAATGTATTACGATAAAAATATTTTTTTATTAATTAGGCAGATCATAAGTCGGCTTGGCCCGACCGTAAAAAATGGAACGGGTTGAACTGACTCGCTATAGTTATGACGGGTGTAGACCTTGGTTCGCTTCGTCAAAGGGCGGGTTGACGACTTGACCCACCATAATAAAAAAAATATTTTTTTTAAATTGAAATTTTCAATAACTTTGATAATAAGATTATCATATGTTTGTCAATAATTTAACATATATATTTCAAGTTAATAATATAAATCAATACATTATTTTAAGAAATTATAATTTAGAACAATAATCAAATTAATATAATAATAAATATTAACAAATGTATATAAATAACGTCAAAACTTGTAAAATTTATAATTTTTATATTGAAAAGTTCAAGTACCTATATGTTTTTTATTTGATAAAACTTCACACTATTCTCATCTTGAGTAATTCTTACACCTTTAATTCAAGTCATAAGGATAAGAATAATCAGTACTTGGAATAAACAAGGAAGAGATGATGGACAATAAGGAGAATATGAGAGAACAACTTGTGTTAGAGTAAGGAAAATGTTTCCTATAATGAGTGAGAGTAAAACTTTTTAAATTCTCTTTTTACCATTTTTAACTTTAAATATTATTTTATGATTAAATGTATTACGATAAAAATATTTTTTTATTAATTAGGCGGATCGCAAGTCGGCTTGGCCCGACCGTAAAAAATGGAACGGGTTGAACCGACTCGCTATAGTTATGACGGGTGTAGACCTTGGTCCGCTTCGTCAAAGGGCGGGTTGATGACTTGACCCACCATAATAAAAAAAATATATATTTTTTTAAAATTGAAATTTTCAATAACTTTGATAATAAGATTATCATATGTTTGTCAATAATTTAACATATATATTTCAAGTTAATAATATAAATCAATACATTATTTTAAGAAATTATAATTTAGAACAATAATCAAATTAATATAATAATAAATATTAACAAATGTATATAAATAACGTCAAAACTTGTAAAATTTATAATTTTTATATTGAAAAGTTCAAGTACCTATATGTTTTTTATTTGATAAAACTTCACACTGTTCTCATCTTGAGTAATTCTTACACCTTTAATTCAAGTCATAAGGATAAGAATAATCAGTATTTAGAATAAACAAGGAAGAGATGATGGACATTTTGCTTCCCCCTCGAAGACCCCTAAAAACGCCCGAGGTGTCTTTTCCGGGAGAGAAAGGGAACAGTGGCGACATTATGGAAAATGGTCACCAAATTGAGAAGGTCCTTTTGAAATTGTGAACATGTTGTTTAATAATGCATGTATTATAATTAGTTGTTATAATGGTCAAACAAAATTCTCAATCAATGCCAAATAATTAAAATCATTCAAAACTTATCATGTATAAAGAAAATTTTGATTAAATTGAAATTAGGGAAAATGTGCATATACATAGGAAACTAAGATACAATTTGAATTTAAGAGCTATGTTCTGATCGAAGTTTTTCGAATTTGGAAAGTCTAGTCGCTCATGCATTCGATATCGAAACTTTCTGATATGTGATGTATGCTAGCTTGAACATATCATTGCGAAGACTTATTGCAAGGCACTTGGAGGTAGTAGCAAACTAAAGGATTCTACTTCAACAGTGGATTTAGAGTGGAAAGTTCAAGAATTTAGCTTCAAAAGCTTTGATTTGTTGTTGAATATCGAGTAGATTAAGCTTAAGTACTACACACTTATTTAGTTAAGTGGCAGATTTGGATTGATAATTTTTTAGCCCTTCGAATTTGGATTTGTTTGAGTTCAATGACTTAACCTTTGTAGCACGGGAAAACTCGATTTCCTCAAAGCTCAACTTTCATTGAATAAATTGGTAACAGTAGAAACTTCTTCGTCGAATCTTTGAGGAAGTTGTTCAAGCGGGATTGCTTCAATTTTATATAGAATCTCTTGAAGCTCTCATGTATTTTATGTGGCTTCTCGATGATGGTTTCAAGAGATGAAGAATATATGCAGGATCTAAATTTTTTAACTAAATTCAACACATCAGAGCCAAATGAAGGAGCAAATGAAGATCTTGCTGTAGTCTAAAATACCTCACCATGTGTTTTCATAAGATCTAAGATGTTGAATGGATCCTTTTCGATTTCTCCCATGAAGATATCCTGGTTCTTTGTAAAAGCTTTAGATGTAGGATCCATTATGGGAAGATCAATAGTTTGGGGAGTAAGATCAGTTGCGGATGGAGTTGATCAAGAGATTATACAATAGTACAGGTGAAAGGTATTAGATAATGGAAAGTTATAGTTTGATTATGGAATAATTTGTGGCATATATGAGAAATAGAATATGGTATTTCTTTTTAATGGGTACCTAAAATAATTGGTTCTGGTTGTAGTTCAATTGAAGTAGATGTACTATGGACAATATATGTTTCCTGTTTTACATCGAGTAATCAAGTTAGAATATAGAAACTCGAAAGTTGATTAAGTGAAACAGTAAATACCATACCTTGTTTGGAGAAATTGGATGTGGTGACTTGATGGATACTTCAACTACGAATTCTAGGTTATTTGAGATGTTGGTCGAAGTCTCTTTCTGTGAAAATCAGGATAATCATAGTATGTATCAAATTATGTGTGTAGAACAAAGCTCGAAAAGTTTAGAAGCT